ACGATTTGAACGCAATGCAACTTTGGTGCTCGGCCAATCAATTGCATCTGAATTGTTCAAAGTGTATGTTTATGACATTTAATCGTACTACACCTTATCTGGTCAGTTATACAATCGACAATACTCCATTGCAACGTATACTAACAGTTAAGGATTTAGGCGTTCTTTTTGATTCTAAACTCTGTTTCAATCTTCACATAGATACCATCGTTAATGAGGCAAAAGGTGTACTTGGATTCATTAAACGATGGTCGAAAGAGTTTAACGATCCTTTTATAACGAAACTTCTGTACATCTCTCTTGTTCGCCCTATCCTTGAATACTGCTCTTGCATCTGGTCTCCGCAGTATAACAATAGCCAGGATCGTATTGAATCTGTTCAGAAGCAATTTCTGCTTTTTGCCTTACGAGGTTTAAATTGGGACCCTAATCTTCGGTTGCCATCCTATTCCAGCAGGCTGCTTCTTCTTAACCTTCCGTCGTTAACCAACCGTAGGACAATTCTCGGTGTTGTCTTTCTACATAAGTTGGTTGTTGGCGATATAGATACTCCTTTTCTGCTAGGGCGTCTTCAATTCTCTGTTCCGGCTAGACCAACCAGAAATTACCGCCCCTTATTCCTATCTACGTGCACAACCAGACTACGCTATGCACAATCCTTTTCGCGTGCTATGTAAAAATTACAATAGTTTTCATCACGTTTTCTCTACCGAACTTTCTCTACCCCTAATAAAATCGTTGCTTTCAGGATACCTTCGGGAAGTCACTGACCATTCCCAGCTATGAGCAGGGGCATAGCTTGCCGGACAGGCTGCAAATTTTCCCCCACCGGGTCGGTGATTTCCCATTACTTTCCCAATACTATCTCTTTATCCTATCTACTTAACACTTTATATATTAAGCATACAATTCTTTTCTTTATCAACAATCTTCTTACTTTCTTTTCTCCTATTTATGGTATTTTCTAAAATAATATAGCAAATTAAGATTATTTTTAATTTTACTTAAGAACACTTTTTCCTACTTACACCCTTCTTCTTAGATGTAGGCTCTAATAGCGTCACTGACAAAATTAGCTGTGAAAAGGGGCACAGCTGGCCGGACTGGCAAATAAAACACCTCCATCGGTCGGTGATGCTATTTGAAATTTGTGTTCTCTATCTAGGCTTTTAGCATCTAAAAATTTCATAATTGTAAATATAATGTATTGAATAATTAGGAAGACACTCGTTTTGTCGACCACTAATAAATAAATAAATAAATAAATTAACTTCGGTGTTTATGGTCCGATCTTTACGAAAATTTCAGGGATTAAAAATGCCATCCAACTCTCAAAACTCAAAATGTGTCATAATGAAAATGTGAACAAGTCGGGTTAGAATCATTCTAGCTTCATTCTATACATACTACGAATTCTATGCACTAAAGAACTTCTTTCTCTAGACCCACACTATAAGAAATGCATTTTAGATTAACTTCGGTGTTTATAGTCCGATCTTTATAATATTTTCAGGGATTAAATATGCCATACAACAATTTTTAAATACCACAACTTCAGGAAAGATCTTTAAAAAAGTTTTTTGTTTAATTTTCAAGGGTAGAGCAGAGAGTAAAAGTTGGGTATTAAAGAACGTGAACTATGCCCAATCTGTTTAACTTTATACGAGAAGCTACATAGCAAGTCTTGAGCTCTTATAATCTTCGAATTGTGATTAAACAAAAATGTCTCAAAATCGACTTTATTGATTCAATGAGAATGTGAGGATAAATCGAGAAAAAAAAGAAAAAAGAAGAAAAATGAAAAAAATTTTGCAAATTTGCAAGCCTCCAGCTTTTGTAGACGGACTGAAGAGCATGACTAGATCGACTCGACTGTTAATGCTGATCAAGAATATATAAGGTATATATATTATTTTTTCTGCTTTCTGCTGCCTGCACACAACTGTAATACCCTTTTCTAGACATTTGCTAGACATTGGGTTGAGGGTATAAAAAAGAGTGGAAGCTGTGACTCGACTCGGCGCTGTTGAAAGCTTGCTAATTGACAATTACAGACAAGTTGCCGGCGTTGGCCATGAATTCTTGCCCCCGGGCCACATGCTCTTAACAAATATTTCCATGTGGGCCGCATAATTTGCCGTTTGCCGTTTGGCGTTTTAGTTTCATATGGATGAAAAATTGAAAATGTGAAATCGTTTAGAGCGATTATCCAAGCGATAGCTTGGCTGGATAGGCTAAATCAGCTAAATTATGGTGCACAGCATTTCCGCCAGAAGCTGCCACAGCTGCCACAAGACGCGGCCGCAGCTGCCGCAGCTGCCCCGGTTACCCTTTGGCCCTGGCGATAAATCAATGAAATCGTCGCCATTTGAATATTAATGAACCCTTTTCACCACTTTCACCACAGGAACGGCAGCCACAATTTATCAGCGTGTGAATGAAGCCACACACACACACAAATACACAGGTGTAAATTGGCTTTGCTGTTATTGTTTTTCGTGAAGGATTTCCGAAGGACTTTGGCGGCATAATTAACACCGCAGGCTTTCCCACGCCGCGTGTGTATCGAATAGATACACTAATAGCCGCCAGAGTTAAGAAATTAGAATTATGTAAGAAATCAAATAAAAAAGGGCGCTGGGGGCAATACAGAAGCGCTAAACTCGGATATCAAACGGGGCCGCCGTTTTGTTTGGCGCGCCGCGGCGAAACTCAATCACAAAACCGAATGCTCAAATATTTGTGTGATTAGTCCTTATCAACAGAGGCAGAGGCAGAGGCAGCAGACCGCCGCTGCTGACCGCCAGGTAGCCCAGGTGGGACCCACTGCGGCTAAAGTCGAGCGGCAGCCGGCTGGTGGTCGGACAATAAATTCCTTTTTCATTTAGCATCCTGCAGCGACGGCAATTGGTTTCGATTTTGTGTCTTCGATTTTTTGTTCTCTTTTCTGATTCTTAAGTGCGTTTAGCTAATAGAAGCGGAGGCTCTATTGTTCTCAGACGCCTTGACGCCCTTTGTGTGCGCTCTGTTTGCCTTCTTGGCCTTCTTTTGTTCGGCTTTCGGGCGTTGGAGTAATGCGCATTTGTTTCAATTAAAAGGATTACGAGAGACACGTACAATGCGTGTCAGCAATGTGCTTAAGTCGCAGCAAATGTGTCGACAATTGGATAATGCACGCAAGAATGTCACATACAACACATAAAACATTTTCAATTTGTGTCAAAAGGCGCACATTTCGGACGTATATTCTTTTTACTTTTGTGGGTTTTTTTGTTTGAGATATGCAGATAGATGAGATAAGGACATTGTCCTTCTTTCGCTCTCTCTCTCTCTCTCTCTCTGTGCCTTCGGAGAGTTTATATAGATCAAGAATTTCATTAGTTTGATTCATGGTTAGAATCAATTCTTTGGTTTAAAGTTCGGTTTGTTAACCTTGTTTTACGCATCTGTTCGCACAGGTTTGAGTTGCAGCTTAGGGTTCGGCTCGGGTTTCTTTTCCTCTAACTTGTCCGATTGAGTACTCGGTCTATTGAAAATACAAAATTTGATTTTGGCATTTAAACCAATTCTGCCTTAAACTGGCTTTGTGGACTTGTCTAAGAATACGTTCACATATTTCTCTGCCCTAAAAAAGTACTTATTCTCGATCTCCCGGATAGATAGATAAAATGAGCGCAACTTCAATCTAACATACAAAATAAGTAAAATATAATTGTAAGTTTCACTGGAAACTTTCTATTTCTGTTATTTTAAATTATAGCTAAATGTACTAAATTTACTTATTGTCCTAAGACAGAGTAAATAAATAAAATGTAAAAAAAATAACATATTTCTCTCTAGAACTTTTCTTATAAGTAAATTACAAATATTCCAATGCTTATGCTATTATATTTGAAATATTTATAGATAACTTAACGAATAAATAGCTTCCAATTTTTCGGACTAACCAAATTTACTTATTGTCATTATTTATAAGTGAATTAAAAATATTCCAAAACTATTGTTATTTTATTTCCAATATTTATAGATAACTTAACACATAAATATCCTTCAATTTATCTGACAATAAAGTTTCTTATTGGAGCATATTACACGTATCACAGTTTTCCCTCTGTATATTTTTATAGTTTTCTTTTAAATAAACGTATATTTATGTGATATCTTATTCTGATCGTTTGCAGGTTTCTCAAATTAATTAAACGCTTTTTTGCTTGCAACAAATTAAATGCAAACGCTTGACAATTAAACACGGCTGCCGCTGGGTGAGGGAGAGTGAGTAAGAGGGGGGGGGCACGGCGCGGATAGTCGTCTCTAGAATGCGTCATTAAAGGCACATGCGCCTGTGGGGAGGGGGGTACGTCTCTGCCGGCGTCGCTGCCGAAGTTTTGAAAACTTTTGCTGAGGCTGAAATACTAAATACAGTCTCGTTACAAACTGAGGAGCGTCGCGTTTTTCTTATTTCTTATTTTTTTGTTTTTCGTTGTTGTTCTCCTCATATGGCGTTGCGCTGTTGCTGTCTCGCTTTGGCGCGTGGCGCTTGATGAACGCCATAATTACCGTTACGTATACGCCACCATTGCTATTTTTTGCTGGCATCGCTTTCCGGCCAGCCGATTGGCCGGCGCGCAAGAGAGCGCACAGCTATTGCCGGCTCGCTCTAACGCAGGCAGGCAGACCAACAAACTGGTTGGCTTCCGAGAGGGAGAGCGAGAGCGAGAGAGAGCGAGAGAGCAGAGCAGAGCAGAGAGCAGAGTGTGCAGTTATGATTTGATTGCCGAGTTTAACCACCGACAAACGAGACACGACACGAGAGAGCAAACGATGTTAAAGAGACGGCACACACACACACGCACACAAACACGCGAAGTGAGCGGCGCGGGCAGCAAAAGAACTGAAGAAATATCGACGTGTCTAGTTAGCAAACCAATCTTCAATCTAGTTTCGAACAGTTGACTGTGAAACGTCGAGTTGAGAGGTCCTCCCATTGGATCAGCGTCGTTGTCGTTTAACGTTTATCGTTTATCGTTGCGCGTTGCACGTTACACGTTACTTTGATTGATATAAATACTAAATATATTTATTAACAAGACGCAGACACAAAGTGCACACCGTATTCTACACACATCAAGTTCCCCCCCCCTGACATTGAAGTGCGCCCGCGTGTGTGTGAGTGTGTGTGAAAGATTTGACCAGATCTTAAATGCTCTGTCCGCCCACAATGCGTCCGGCCAGCCCTGCCGAATCCGAGATTTCCGTCGGCGGTGCACCCAGCCCGCTGCCGGCCCAACATCAGCATCAGCATCAGCATCAGCATCAGTTGCATCATCAGCTGCATCATCATCCGCATCAGCTGCCACGCGGCGGCACCATCGATCTGCTCCAGCAACAGCAGCTGCTGATGCAACAACATGCTGCTGCCGCTGCGGCGGCCGCTGCTGCCGCCGGACTGACGCGCAGCGCCGTCGGCACACTGCCGGAGGATTACTTCCAGCCGCTGAAGCGTCTGCGCATGTCCTCCTCCTCATCGGAGCCGCGCGATCAGACGCCCAGTCCACCTGCAACCCAACCAAATCCAACTGCCACGGCAGCCGCTGGCAATGCGGGCAGCACAAAGTCCGCCATCGAGGGCGTCAAGAGCTTCTCGATTGCCGACATTCTGGGCCACTCGGAGAAGCAGCGCTGTGCGTCCAGTTCGCCACCGCCGACTGCCACGCTGCTGGCGCCGCCCGCTGCCCGGCCCGTTGCGGGTTTGCTGCAGTCGCAGCGCAGCGAACCGCTGGACATGCATCCGGCTGCGGCTGCCATGCTGCTGCCCGGGGCACAGATTGTGCGTCCGTGGGATCATCTGCTTGGGCCGATGCCCGTCCGGCCGTTCATACCCTCCGCCCTGCTGCACTACGAGCAGCGTTTGGCCCTGGACTATCATCGCCAGCTGCAGGAGCACTTCAATGCCCAGGCCCAGCTGCTGCGCCACATGGGCATGGACATCATACCCTCCGAGAGCGGCTCGGATCGCTCCAGCTCCGCGGCCAGCGACTGCTGCTCGCCGGAAATAGCACGCGACTCGGCCGCTGCCGCCGCCAGCGCTGCCCTGCGTCGCAGCCACAGTCCACAGTCCTCGTCGCAAGCGGCCCAGGCGGAGCGTGAGCGTCATGCATCCGGCGGCTCGGCCAATGCCGCCTCGAGTCCCGCCCAGGCGGCAACGGGCAGCGCCCAGAGCACAGCCGCTGCAGTTGCCGCCGCCGAGGCCAAGGCCAAGGCCAATGGCACGCCGCTCGACGCGCTCTTCCAGATGACCACCAAGGACTTCGATGAGTCACAAGGTAAATAGCCCAACCAATCGATTTACTTATCAATCGATTAGAGATAAATGTTCTCGATTTCGAAATCGAAATTAATTAATTTTGTGGCAATTTCCAATTGAGCGAATGCAACGAAATGTTTGCTTGGATTTTCAATTTTGCCTAATTGAAATTGAACGTTCATCTGTTGAGGCCATTCCCATTTCCAATTCCATTCCCATTTCGATATCTGCTTCTATTTCGCTTTATATACCCTAAAGGGGTATTAAGAGGGGTATAATAGACTTGTGCATTTGTTTGTAATAAACACAAGGAAGCATCTATGATCTATGAGCTGAGTCATTCCAGAGACTTGAAATTTTGAAATATATATATTATATCATGCCACACACAGATCGAGTTTATAATTTTCTCTCCCGATATCTTATCCCATTTCCAAAATGTCGATAAATATCGATTTTGAAAATGGTTTAAACTCGAAATGTTTCAGTGCTCGTATGGTATAGTAGATAATATTAGATAATAGATAATATTTATTATAATAGTTAAAAATGGTTTAAAAGTCTTGAGTTTTATGTAACCTCCTATCTTCGAACTGAATCGGTCTAACCATATCTGTCGGTCCGTCTACAAACTAAAGACTTGAAATGTGGAATATATATTCCTTATAATTTTCTCTCTCTCTCTTATTTCCATAATATCGATAAATATCGTTTTGGAAACATAGTTTTTTACGCATAAGTCGAGAATTAGAAGAGCTAGGTGTAAAAAATTTGGTATGTGGACTCTCGTGTGGTATAGAAGGACTATAAATATTTCACTTTCCAAATACATTTCCCCACATTTCCTTCATAATTCAAAATATCTCATTTGTAAAGTCAGAGCTTTACGCTTCGGTATACACAAAGTTTAGTATGCCAGGAAAGAAGAAGAAGGAAGCCAGAATAGTTTCATAGACAAACGCCAGCTGAAGGGTATCTGCTAGTCGTTCACTCTCGACTAGAGCTAACTTATATGTTTTCTATGCAAATGACTTTGGCTAATTCTCAGTTTTTGTGTGTTTTTCAATTAATTGGCGGCATGTGCTGAAAAAAACAAAAAGCCCAAAACAAATTACAGATAACTCAATATTTGATTGAGAACATTTATAAATGGTATTTTAGCGAGCGGGAGGGGAGAGGGGTAAGGGGAAGGGGATTATAATATAATCCGCATAGCGCACATGCGCATAGTTAATAGCCACAATTTTCCATATCAACGCGAATTGAGAGCCGCATCTGTCACAGTCGCAGTCACAGTCGCAGTCACAGTCACAGTTCATGTTTACACGCATTTGCAGTATTAAGTGGGCGTTTTAGTGTCAAGCCCCAAACTCAACCCCTGTTTTCATGCTAATTATTGCCTAATACTCCACACTGAGAAAAAAAAGAGTGCACTAGAACTCAAATTATTTCCAAACACTTTTAGTTGAAATACATTTTTTTTAATGTGGTATTTAAAAATTTCACTAACAACTTCTTTAAATAACATTTTACAATTTTACATTTTACAATTTGACAGCTCTTCTGCTTGATTTGCCTATTCTTTTCTCTGAGTGTAGCCTAGCTAAATAGCTCAAATCATTTTAACACATTTTAAGTTGAAATTCTCTTTATATGTTTGGGTTTTAGAAATTTCCGAGAAAAATTTTACATTTTGACAGCTCTTCCGCTTGATTTGCCTATATTTTTCTCTCAGTGTAGCCGTAGCTTACTAGCTCAAATCATTTCCAAACATTTTTAGTTGAAATCCTCTTTAAATGTTTGGTTTTTAGAAATTTCAGAGAAAACTTATTTAAATAACATTTTCTCGCTCTTGCTAATTATTGCTTAATACTCCTTGCTAGAGCTTACACTGAGAAAAATGAGCGCTCTAGAATTTATTTGATCTAAAATCATACTCTCGATTAAATTCTATTTTATTATAGGCATTTATAAATTTCAGAGAATACTTACATAACATTTTCGTGCTCAGCTTCATTTTGACAGCTCTGCCGCTTGATTTGATTGATTTGATTTCTCTCAGTGTAGCCATAGCTGCAGCTAACTGTGGCCATATGCGCCTCTGTCTGCTACACTCATATATTTTGTGCATTCGTGTCGATTCTGCGACGATTAGCAACAATTAGCCGCCGGCCAAGTTTGTTCATGTTCATTGCCTAATAGAGTTTGGATTTGTTGTTGTTGTTGTTGTTGTTGTTTTAGTTGTATTTGTTTTTTATTGTTGTTAACATGCCGTTGCCATTTGGTAAAATTGCTGTGTCTACTGCTACTAAAAGCTGACAAGCCTCGGCTCGCAGCTGATAGTCGTAAGCATATTGAAGGCAAATACATTTGTATCTATCGATGTTGTTGTTTTTCCTCTTGTTGTTGTTGTGTTAACGCTCAAACATGTCTATTTATCAAAATATTGTATAACCAAAAACGAAATATTTACGACTGTGCGGCGACTGTGTATATTATGACGCTGGCATCGTTAGTCAATCAGCAACAAGAAGTCAAGCCGATAAACATGTAATTTATATAATATATAATATGTCCCTATCTACTGAGGATTAGGCTCAAGCGAGGGGCGAGCACGGGGGGGGGGGGGGGTGTACACATTAATATCATTAACACTCGGCGAGCAGGAAGCGAGAGTTGACATTGCATCGATAGGAATATGAAAATATTTTTCGATTTTCAACGTTTAAGTATGCATCACAGTAGGAAATTCAAGGAGTAAACGCGGTTTTATTTATATAAATATATCAATCAAGCAATCAATCAGTCAGTCAGGCGAAAAGTTCTTAGATATATCTTTTATATATGTTTGGATTTTCAATGTTTAAATACTCATCATAGTGGGAGGCTCAAGTAGTAAACGTGGTTGTATATACACAAATATATCAATCAATCAATCAGTCGATCAGTCAGTCTGGAGAAAAGTTGTATAGATATATATGTTGTACATATCTATATCTACATATCTATACATCTATATATCTATTTATATATTAATATACAATTTTTCGCTTGACTGATTGATTGATTGATTGACTATTAAGCTCAAGCCGTTAAGGCCAGGAAGCTGAATTCTTCAAAAATTTGCATGTAAATACTTATATATGTGAAATTAACTGTGCTGACTGACTAATTGACTTTTTGATTGATTGATTGATGCTTAACGCACAGCTCAAGCAGTAAGAGCTAGTAAGCGGAACTCTTCAGATTAGTAATATTATATATGTATAAGAAAGTAATATTAATTGTCCTCACTGACTGTTTGATTGACTCGCTGATTGATTGACTGATTGATGCTTAGCGCACAGCTCATGCCGTAACAGCTAGAAAGCTGAACTTTCTTGATTGTAGTGAATACTAAGACAAGGTTTTTCACCACATAAAAATTGTTAAAAAAAACAATTACTTAAAACCTTATTTACTCAATTAAATAAGTATTTAAGGCTTTTCTTTCTTTCACATTTATGGGAATTGTAAAAAACATATTGACAGTTTCCAATAAACTTTTTATGAGGATCTCCTCGAAGAAGTGCCAGACACACTGTCGTCGTCCAGTCCAATTCCACGTATTGACACAAATTAAAACATAAGAACGTGAACTGTGCAACTGTTGCAACGAGGAACAGGGCACAGGTTCTTTAGAAAGTGTGGGCAGTCGGTTGCTTAACTCGAATTACAACTGGAACATATTGTAGTGAAAGGTTTTTCTTTCGACTACAACCAAAACAAACCAGCCCTCAGCTGAAGTGAACATTTCTCCATATAAGTGGACACCTGAGACCCTGACTGCGACAGGGACAGGACCCAAGTGGCCAGCGCACATTTCTCCCTTTAGTTTTAACGTTTTTCTGTTTTTTAGATAAGTCACAGAAATTACTTAATGAGTCTCCGATAAAAACACAAACACACGCACACTCGCTCAAGTGCCTAATGGGTTTTGGGTTACAAAACGTGCTCGAGATAACAAATAGGGCAAATTAATGCGTTTCGCATTTGTATTATACTTAACATAGAAACAAAATTTAGTCGGGCTTGGAAGCGTTTAATTAGTTTTTAATGCTGGGCTAGTTTGTTTGACAAGCAATCGGAATGGAATGGGCGTGAAGACCGGTTCATATGCATATGAATATAGCTAAATATATCCGGATATATATGTGTATATACATATGTATGTATGTGTACTGTATGCATATTTATGAACGGGGGCCAGCCGAGTCACAGTAGCATCTGAAATTCGTAGCCATAAATTAGCTTTGAAATGAGTCGGTCTGTCCGATTTCAACTGGGTTCAGGAAGCGTTATGCAACTTTTACAATTGCAAATTATAAGTTTGCCTGCTGCTGCTGCTGCTGCCTCATTAATCAGGCAACAATAGCGTATGTGATTTGTAGGTGTCAATATAATTATGAAGTATAAATCAAGCGGCAAACGAGACAAATGATTGCCGGCCAAAGTGCAGAGCAGAGCCCAAGTCAATGACGCCCACAACTCGGGCAATTAATCAAGCGAAGCGAAGGAACGAAAATTGCAACCGACTGCACAATACTCTGGGAAAAGAAATGTAATCAAAAGGGGCTCCTCAAGCTGTGACTGGCAAAGCAGGCTGTGATTTATAGAAATTTTATATTAACTTTATTTGATCTGATAATTGCTTGCCTCATATACCCCTTTATACTCTTGTGTACAGAGCATGCAAAGCGCTTGCAATTAAATCATTTAAATGTATAAATCAAAGCACTTTAATTAACACTCGCTCGGACACTCGTCGCGAGCAATTACAAATTATTTCTAATGCGACTTACAAATGCGCTTGTTAACACTCGTGTATTCGAGCTGCGAGCTTCGAGCTTCGAGTATTCGTTCGAACCGGTTTGACTCAAGCCAGACTTTAACTAATCCCCCCCTTCTCTCTCTCTCTCTCGGCAGACAAATCGCACTTGGACATATTCTCGAACCGACCGCAGCCGAAGAAGAAGCGCAAGTCGCGCACCGCCTTCACCAACCATCAGATCTTTGAGCTGGAGAAGCGCTTTCTCTATCAGAAATATCTGTCGCCAGCGGATCGGGATGAGATTGCCGCCTCGCTGGGCCTGTCGAATGCGCAGGTGATCACTTGGTTTCAGAATCGTCGCGCCAAGCAGAAGCGCGACATTGAGGAGCTGAAGAAGGATTTCGACAGCGTCAAGGTCTTCTCGGCGCACAAATCCTTTCTGGAGAATGTCAACGATCTGAGCATACTCAAGAAGAAGCCCATGCATGAGGCGGACATGGTTGGTCTCGCTGCGGCCGCAGCTGCCGCTGGCATGGTCGGCGTCGGCGTCGGCGTGGGCGTGCCCGTATCCGCCGCCCAGTCACTGCCACCCAAATGAAGAGGGGGGCGGCGGGATGCGTTCAGCGCACATGCAACCTGATGAACGGTACAGAAAGCGAGCAAAGTATTGAGGAGGACATTATCATCAAGCGACAGCGCCAAGAGCTTCGCATTTTGTTTAATTTTGGAGCCAGGCCAGGTCACTCCGGCTTCGGCTCTCTAGAGATATTATTTGACACGGATGTGACAATCTAATGACAAGCCTGGCAAAGGCCACGACTGAGGCACAGACACGACTTGCCACGCCTTGCCACGCCTTGCCGCGCCTTGCCACGCCTTGCCACGCCTTGCCACGCCTCCTGGCTCGAGCAACAGACCCGGACTAAGGCCTAATTGCGGCCATCATCTGAAAACCCACCAGCATCGACACACGGCAAGGAGACCAACTCAATCTCCAATTGGAAAAGCCCAATCGGCTCTTTTCAGAGCCACCAAAGCAAACGCCAAAGAGTCTCGAATGCGTTCAATGCGAGCCAAGTTTCAAATAAAAATCACAAACAGAATCTGAAAGCAAGTGTACAAATGAAAATCTTTGTCATAGATATATATATATATATTTATGGCATGAAGTTTGACAGAAAAGTCAAACAGCAAAAAATTCTTTTAAACAAATTAAAATTTTATTGAATAAAAGAAACTTTTTTTACAAACAAGAAAATGTTTTATTAATATTTAAGTTTTAGATGCATTTCCATCTAGAATTCAAGCTGTGATCAAAGTGCTGGAAAAAGCGAAAAATAGTTCAATGTTCAAAGGAACTTCATTTAATGTGAACTCGAAAACTTTCTTGGTCAACATTTTCATAATATTTTGACTATATTTTTGGCAATTTATATTAACAATTCCAGAATCTACGTTTATTTTTTGAGCCTTGACTTACGCTTCGGTTTAAAAATTTATGAGAATTTGAGAAATGGAAAATTACTTCCAATAAAACTTTGGGTGTCAGAAATGTTAACAATGTTGGGAAGATGTTTGACAGAAGGATCTCAAAAATTGACACCCCAAATTTCTATATATAGAAAACTTATGGGCTTCAAATTTTTGAAAAGCACATTATTTTTTGAGGAGTACATAACCTGTTGGTTCAAAACTTTTTAAACTTAATTTTAGATGCAGAATCAAGCTAGAGTTCAAAAAATGCCTGAATTCCAGCTTCTTTTTTTTTAAATTAAATTTATTAAGTGTCAAGCCCGGCTCAGAATGCTCTATAATGCGCTTAGTATCTATCTTAAGTATCTCCAGTTTTATATTCTAGCTTGAAATCGGTTCAGCTTTCAGGAAGATCTGGGAGCTGGATCGAATGGATCTCTCTCTCTCTCTCTCGGCAACATTCGCTAAGCTCTTTTCTTATACACTTTTTAACCCATTTTATGGGCTATGCAAATTTAGAAACCGTTGCCAATAAATTTCAACATATTTAAGCAAACAACGCCGAAGTCGCGGGTCATTAGGGAAACGAGTCGAAAGAGCTTCCATTTCATCGTAGACCTCCCCTCTCCTCCCCCTCTAACATCTCTTCCCCTCTCCCCATCGTTCGTTTGCATTTAGTTAAAAAGAAAAAATTCGATTTAAAATTCTGGCAAGGTTCGATAATTGTGCTGCGTATTTTGTTGGGCTCTTAAAAAGCAAAGAAATCTTTTTTAATTTTTATTAATGATTATTTACAACCGTTATTCAAAATTTAAACTAATTAATTATTAATTTAATCACTTGGCAAAAACAAAGAAACGCAAAACGAGTTGCGTTCACGTTGAAAATCAAAAAAATCAAAATTAAAATCAAAATCCAAATTAAGCGCTCCAAGTGTTTAAAGCCGAGCGCGTTTTGCATACCAAAAATTTTCTTAAATTATTTCAATATTTATTAATTTTCAAGCAATCAATATACCACGTAAAATATGCAAGCAAGGGTATACAGGTTGGAGATGAAAAATAAATATTTTATATTGTATAGTGACTTTCAAATGGACGTCGCATACTTCGATTATGTAGATATTAAAGGGTATAAAATAGATAAAGTGTGTATACCCTGTATATTATCGAAAGGGGTATACAGGTTGGACTGTAACAATAGAATTAGTATATTGGATTGTATATGGGCTTTCAAGAGGACGTCGCATACTTGGAGTATGTGGATATAAAAGTGTATATAATGGGTATACCCTGTATACTTTCGAAAGGGGTATGCTGAGGTTGGACTGTAACAATAGATATTTTATATTGGATTGCACATTGACTTTCAAGAAAGTATCACATGCTTGAAGTATGTAGAAATTAAAGTGTAGAATAGTGCGTATACCCTGTATACTTTCAAAAGGGGTATGCTGGCTTAAGGAGCTTGAACTATAACAATAGAAATTTTATATTGTACATTGACTTTCAAGAAAGCATCGCATGCTTGGAGTATGTAGATATTAAAGGTATGTCTTGGGCATACTGCGTATACCCTGTATACTTTCAAAAGGGGTATGCTGAGGTGACAGGTTGGACTGTAACAAAAACTGGACTGTAATATATTGACTTTCAAGAAAACATCGCATGCTTGGAGTATGAAGATATTATAGGGTATTTATTGCACATACGATATAACGTATACCCTGTATTCTTTCGAAAGGGGTATGCTGAGGTAAAGAGGTTGGACTGTTATATTTTTATTTTCAAAAAAGCATCGCATGCTTGGAGTATGTAGATATTATAGGGTATGTCTTGGGCATACTGCGTATACCCTGTATTATTTCGAAAGGGGTATACCCAGTCTATGCAAATGCATAGTTCGTTTTGAACAGCATTCAAAACTGCGCTGTATTTGATACTTGTGCACTGAATGCAGGATATTTGTCAGTCTATCAGTCTGCCTGTCAATCGACTTACTTGTTTTCAAATATTTCAAAGTGAAGCGGACGGACATTGGCTTGCGTTGGCTACCGTTTTGCGGGCCAGTTCAAAGGCTTTGATCGCCGCCGCCGGCGCACACATTTTTCACTCTCAACTCGAGTCGATGCGATGCGATGCGAGTCGAGTCGAACTCTTCCACTTTGACTGGGTAGTCTGTCGGTGACCTGGCGGCACCTGAGAGCACTTTCCGAAACTGAAGCGCGCCATCAATCGTCGCTTCTGGCCCGGCCTGGCCCGGCCTGGCCCGGCCCGGCCAGCAGCATCGTTTGTTAATAATTTGAATAATCAAGCTATCAATTCCGGTGCTAATGATGCCGACCGCTGGCGGAGCTGAGGGCCCCAGTTCTCGGCTCGGCTTTTTTGGGTATATCGGTTTAATTTGGCGCTTATCGATTCGATTGTCTCTAACAGTTCGTAAACTAGACGGAAAGCCAAGTCCCATTGCATATGCATGAGCTCGGCAAATGCAGCCGCGGATTTGTGGGGGGGGGGGGGGGGACCCAACATTTAGTTAAAAGCAATTTATTTTCATTTTCAAATGTGTGACAATGCGACGCATGCGCCGAGATAAAGAAACTTTTTATAGAGGCCCTTCTCGACCCTCGTTCTCCTCCTACTTCTGATTTGGCTCATCTGTGAAGCTGGGCGTGATTAATGCGTTTTGAAAGTGCCGGGCGAAAGTTGCACTGGAAACCGTTTAATTGAAATCAGCTCATTGGTTAGAGAAAGAGCCAGAGAGAGAGAGAGAGAGACACATATTAGTGGGAGTGCGAGAGAGTAAGAGCTAGCTGAGGCACAAATGACCGGCCATTACCGGTGGCATTTGGTTTTAGTAGCTGAGAAATTTGCCCGGGCAAATTGAGGCAAACTGCGGCTCTAATTATGGGAAAAACTCTCAGCGTTTCCCCGTGAAAACAAATAGAAAACCGGGCGAGAGCGAGAGCGAGAGCGAGAGCTGCAAATGCCGTTTAAGCATGGCTATTATATGCGAGTAGAAATGCGTAAATGTCGAAACTCATTAATCGAATCAACTAAAAATGACTAATGGACGCACCTCACGAGAACTTCCCCCCCCCCCCCTCTCTCTCTCTCCCCCTCCCTCTCTCTCTCTCGCTCGGTTTAATGAACGATAGTTTGTGGAGATGGCGCTACAAACGAGCGCTCTTAAGTTCATTGCGCGGCTAAGTGAAAAGCTTATGTATTCCATGGCCAGAAGGAAGTACGCACAAATGGCCAGAGAGAGCTTGGCTGGCAAACGGAAATAGCTTCATTTGAATATCATTCAATTTTGCGTATGGTTCTTTATTTCCTGCTATAGCCCGTACAAATTATGAGTGTGTTTATTTATTTGTTTATTTAATTATTTATTTATTCATTTATTTATATACTTTATGTATTTATTTATTAATGGTCGACAAAACGTGTGTCAGCCTAATTATTCAATAAATAAAATTATGAAAATTAAATGCTAAAAGCCTAATTAGAATACACAATTTTCTAATAGCATCATGAAGGTCTTTTATTTGCCCGTCCGACCTGCCTTGCCCCTTTTCACAGCTAATTTTGTCAGATTTTATTAGAGCCTACAGCTAAGAAGGAATGTGTAGAGAAAATATTGCTATTAAGTAAAAATTTTAAATAAATCTGAATTTACTATGTTATTTAGGAAAATACAATAAATAGGAGAAATGAAAGGAAGAAGTTATTAATTAAGCAAAGAAATGTATACTAGTTATATAGAGTGTTAAGTAGATAGTATAAAGAGATAGAGATGAGAAATCTCCGGCAAATCCGACAAGCCATGCCCCTACTCATAGCTGGGAATGGTCAGTGAGTTCCCGAAGTTATCCTGAAAGCAACGATCTTATAAGGCGCAGAGAAAGTTCGGTGGAGAAAACGTGATACAAACTATTATAAGCTTTTGCATAGTAGGTAGGAATAAGGGAGATATCATGTAAGAGGGTATATCAGCTCAAAGTGTAGAAGCTATACAACTAAAATGTTTGCTGGAACTGCGCTTTAGATTTTGGAAAATTCAACCCTCAAGTTTGTATAAAAAACGTCAACAACAATGCAGTCAAATAAGTTCGCTTTCCAAGGATTAAGTCGTGAGCTCATGTGGATTAGATCTCTAAACATCGAACCAGCCAGCGGGAGGTCGCCGGCTCAAAGCCAACAATTTCCTAGTTAAACATTTGCTTACTTAATTAGTTATTATTCTATAATAATAACATTAATTCCTTCGATTTGATTGGGTTCCAATTGGACTCCAATTAGCTGCTTGCTTATAATTTAAATTTATTTTGCACAAAATAGGGTATCTTCACATTGAGCATGCTCGACTGTATCATTTGTACTTATTTTATTTGATTGCTTGTTAAAGTGTTTGCGCACTTCCTGCTCAGTCACATTGTCAGCAATTACCCGGCATTGCCCGGCCCCCTTAGCCCTTTGCTGAGCGCAGCTCAGACGATCAAGTGCTGCCCTTCGGTCGACCTACATCAAGTCCAGGTCCCAGTTGCCCGGCTGCCCGGCTGCCCGGCTGCCCGGTTGCCCGGTTAACTGGCGCCGTTTGCCAAAAAAAAGAAAAGCTGCGCCCGCGGCGCTTACAGACAGGCTTTTGCCCAGTGCTGATTATGATAAATGTAAACA